ATATTTAGATCTGGTATTCTAGGTTTCGTGTTTGTTAGACGTGACCCGTTAGCAGGCTGCATATTTCGGGGGGGGGGGGGGGGGGGTTTGTATTTTTGATGAATCCAGACTGATTTTGCTGATTCTCGATTGAACTTATCATGAACTTATGAATGATTTTGGGGAGGATCTCACTTAATTTCTGCTCCAAGCTCACCAATTTTCTACCGAAAATATGAGAGATGGCTGTCAATGAAAGCACCAATGTAGGTAGAAAGTAACACGGGTAGAGAAACCGATAGCGTTTTAGTATAATGAGAAAAGTTTTTCCGATAACAGGAGGATTGTGTGGCCTATTTATAGACGTTTACAACAAGTCCAATAATAAAAGGCTACATGGGCCCAATCTAAAAACTAATATTGATGATAATGAGCCAGCCGGTCTAGCTAATTAGAAAATAATCCCAGACTAATTTTTGCAAGTCGGACTGTGTAACGGCCGATAGTCTTGGACCCGACCCATTATCCCAACATGGAGTGCAAACTAAAATTCCCCTTTTTAAAAAAACAATAACTTGATTAATGATCATTTTCTCCGTACAAGAGCAAAATAATCATGTGAGTTCCCCACTCAAGTACATCAAACTCAGAACATGCTTCCCGTGTAAGTTTGTAGGTTACTTGATTCGTTGACCGGTGAACATACTAGACATTACTACTGGTAAAATCTACGATCATTTTTCTAATTTCCTGATAACGAACAACATTATAATGTATCCCCTCCCTTTACAATAGACCTGCACAAAAATGGTCAGACCCACCCGGACCGTCAGTACAAATGGGCGAGCTTGGGCATACATATTTATCCATCGGGACTGACCCGACCCGCAATAGCATGTAGGCCCTTTCGGGCCGATAAGCCCAACCCGCTACATTTAATATACATGTTTATTTATAATACTCCCTTCGTTCTTTATTAATTGTCTTGTATTCCTTTTCAGGACGTTTTATTTTATAAATATTTTAATGATTTTTGACATTTTTTATTTTTTTATGTTTTTTTAATGATTTTATTGGAGTATTAATTAAGAAATTTCAAAAGCTACAAGGGTATATTTGTCCAAACACACATAAATAGTCCTACTATGAGGAATTAAAAACATGTCGTCCCATTTGTGTTCTTGGGCCACTTTTTTTACCTATTTAGGTAATTAACTCTAATTATTTCTCTCTCTTTCCTTTTTTGGTAAGTTTTTTCAATCAAAATACTTCTTTAACCCTATTTTTATTACCCTAACCACTTTCTCTTTCCTAATTTATCATTTAAACATCAATCACTACACTTTTTACATTACCCCTATTGTTTTCCACATAAACTTCGTGCCAAAGCCTAAGGGGACTTTTAAAAGAGAACGGAGGGAGTATATGTATAAACTTAATTATTTATTTACATTTACACGTGTGTATATATATATATACACTAATTGAGTAGCGATCCTGTCAGGCCGGCCTGACAGGACTCGCCATCCGGCCAAGGCCAATTGGGTCCCTGCCCGATAAATTTTTTTGTTGAAATTTTTTGAGCATGTTCTTCATGAAGTCGAGTTTATGCCGACAAATTTCACCTTAAATTTATTCAATCAGGAAGATAGTTAAATAAATTATAATCTAATTTCACCTTAAAATTATGCAATGGGGAAGACAACAATCATTCTCAACCTCATCTCCATTAGCTTGCAGCGCAACATCCACATCAATTTTAATCTAACCCGGAAGCGGTTGTCAGGGTTTTGGGATTGAAAACAAGACCACGGTCAACTTGGGGGGGCAGGGTGCGTGGGTAAGTCTCAATCACTCGACCTGTTCGGATGCACTGGGCATCTGGACGGAGTGGCCAAATAGTTGTGGGCAAGTTCAAGATTGCATATATTCGATTCATGGGATGCATGACGAGATATGAGGGGAAGAGCGTTGAGGGTGTGGATTTTTACTTGAGAGTGAGTCACATTTGGGAGATGTGTATAAGAAGGGTGTTCCCTGTGAGAAAGCGGTCCAGTCCAGCTAGTCGCCGACTCATTCTCCCTTATGGGAGGTCACAGGTTCAATTCTCAATGGAGTGAGATTCATTCCAGTATACCCCAAACCCCCCTCCCTCTAATCCCCTGGGGTAAAAAAAAAGGGGGGGTGTTCCCTGTAAAGATTTATTGCCTTTAGTTGTTGAGCTTATTGTTGAGCACTTTGGTGTTGAACTATTGTTAGAAGGGAGATGGAGAACGGTGAACCTTAATAATTTAATTCATTAAATTTCTCTAATTAAGGCATGGATATTTTCTCTTTTTTACACATATAGTAAATTGTATTGAAAATAACTTCAAATTTAATTCATTAAATTTCTCTAATTAAGGCATGGGTGTTTTCTCTTTTGTACACATATAGTAAATTGTATTGAAAATAACTTCAATTGGTAGGGACACTGAAACCAAAACTCTTAGTACAAGATTATCACAGTGTTGTTATAAAATGCTGGTTTAGAACTACATTGTGCAAGCATCAAAATTACTCTACCAAACAACCCCTCACTCATATTTGATTATTTCATTCCATCATCTATAATGTAGCTTGATTCAGATCATTTCTCTCCTAAGATCTTCTCTCCTAAGATCATAGTGCGCGTCATTTGAATCAAAACTAATATGTGTATATAAAGAGAGATATAAGGAAATAAACTTGCACATCTTATAATTTATACTGATTAATTGTGTTTTGTCCAATTGAAAAAATATAAAATAAAATCAATGTGTAGCATACAAAACCTATTTCTTATTACATGTATATATGTTTATTTTTTACAGATGAATAGTTTCATTTGGATTTGGAGAATATTCAAAATGCAAACGAACAATACTTATAGCATGTAGAGCTGTCAAAACGGGCCAGAACCCGCGAGCCAACCCGTTTAAACCCATTTATAGACGGGTTAGGGTTATGATATTTGGGCCCATTTATTTCGCGGATTAAGTGGGCTAACCCGATCGGGTTACGGGTTTTAGCGGGCCAGCCCGTGCGGGTTGCGGGTCGACCCGCGGGCTGGAGCAAATTATTACTCCGTATTAATTTATTATCCTCCGTAGTCCGTATGTATCAGTCGTTTGCCCATTTGGGTCTTGCTAGAGGTACACGTTTTGTGTACACGTTTTGTGTACACGTTTGGTGTACACATGTTTGTCCTTCATAGACAAATTGTCTTGTCACAGACAACTTGTCTGTGAAGGACATACATGTGTAGCAACGGCCAAGAATAAAAAAGTAACTCCTTATATTACTTGTCTTCTACCCTTCAATTTTTACTTTCTACTTCTCTCGTTCCTTTATGGCTTTATCTCCTCTCCTCAATCTGTCCATATCAATTTTTAAGTATTACTCCGTATCTATTTTACTCTTATCTCCTACGGAGTATTTGATTATTGATCTCTTCTATACGGATTTATGCCTAGAAGTTCAACTCTCCATTCCCACTTTAATATTGTACTATAACATCTACAAAAAATATTACTCCGTATTAATTTTCGTTTATTATTTTAAATTGGTTGATTTAATATGTATAGATGATGGGATTAAAAAAAAAAGTTAATGGGATCATTGGAGAAGGTTTAGTCCACAACTTGCTGGAAACTCATATGGAGATGGACCAATTATTAGCACCTGGAGATGGACGAGTTGCTTATGAAGCAAGATTGCAAGAGTGATGTGATTTTATAATTTTTATTGTAATGCAAACTTATGATGTTTTGTTTGAAGTGAATTTAGACAATTTGGATGTGTTTTTGCATTTTGATTTCGACAATGGTTTTGGACTTATTATGAAGAAGTTATATATTTAACCATATTAGATTTTATTGGAATTAGTTTACATAGTTTTAAATTTCTAATACAAATTTGGCCATTGTTTGGCCCGTTAAACCCACTTATTAGGTTGGCCCGTTAAACTCACTAAATGGGCTGGCCCATTTAACCCACAGGTTAGGTGGGTTGGGGTTGTAGAAATCGTGACCCGTCATTAAAAGGGTTGGCCCGACCCAACCCACTTAAAACATAACCTTTTCACGGGTTGGGTCGGGCCGAGTTGGCCTGATTAGCATGTCCAGTGAGAGGGTAGGTTGTAGTAAGATTCATCTATTTCATCCTGCATATAACATAGGACCATAGCCCATAGGAGACATACATAGATGCAATGATTATTTTAAATTAATAGAGAAAATGTGGGGTATGAAAAATTGATAAAAATGTGAGACATGATGAAATCCATGTACCTTACACGGGTTTCAAGGGAAATCAGTAAATAAAAGTGAGTAAGTGAGTTAACAATCATATAAAAATGAAAATTTAAATATATTAAGAGATATGTAAATCCTTAATGCAAAAATATTAAATAAATTAGGATGCATGTGTAGGCATGGACCCGGTTCGGGCCGCCCGGTCCGGGACCGGCCCGGGACCGGCCCGGCCCGCCACTGTGCGGGACCGGAACCGGCCCGGTTCTCGGGTCCGGGTCGGGCCTAGGTCCGGTGGGGGGGCGGGTCCAGGCTCGGGCCTTGTATTTGGCGAACCGGCCCGGCAAGGTCGGGCCCGGGCCTAATTGAATTTTTTTTTTTTTTTCATTTTTGGGGTAGACCCGGGTTGGGCTTGATGGTTAGGAGGGGTTTGGGGGTTTTGGGGGTTTTGGGGGGTGGGGTGGGGGGGGGGGGGTTAGGAAAGCAAAAATAAAAATTAAAAAAAATTAACCAAACCGGAGGCCCGGCCCGGCCCGGATCGGTGGCTAACCGGGCAGGTCCCGGGCCTTCCTTCCCAAAAAAAAGCCCGGCCGGGCCCATGACTATGCATGTGTAAGGAAGTGTAAGAGACCACACCCTCCCATCAGAGATACTCTTAAGAGACTAATTGATTAAACAATCATTATAATTTGATTTGCTAATATGAGGCTATTTGCATTCCAAACGAAACTCTATAACCTACATAACAACTCCATATCTAAATACAACCGTTAAACCATATCCCAGAAAAGACCGACATTTTTTCCAAACAAACAAATAAACTGTAAGATATGAATCTAGCATGAACTGACATATTTCAAAGAATGGTAATTTTTAAGTAGATAAACTTGGGATCTTAAACTTCTCAAAAGTCAAAACTGATTCACGATGGAATAAATATTATGGTTCAAATTTGGGCCACTGATAATTCAAAACGCCAACTTAAATATATTATTCAAGTGCCAATGTTTGCAACGGGCTTCAGGAGTGAGAGATTAATCAGCCTGAACTGTGAAGGAGTCGAGACCTTCAAGCATTTTGGGATTATTCTCCATGGTGTCATTCTTATTAGCTACAGCAGCCTGTCCACAAAAGTGAGCCATTCAGGAGGTGAAAGAATCAAATAAGCCCTTTTACTGTTTGTAAATCATTTAAGTGTCATATTCATCTATCTACTTGTTGAAAACAATCATTTAAGCCTAAATTACCTGTTAGTAACCTCATGAGTAATTTTAAAAGTCAGTAAAACCACATGTACAATTTTACCTGTTGGTATATGTATAATTTTAAATGTCAGTAAACTCATTTTATACATGTGACGGTTATCTTCTTGTTTTCATATATTTCTTTTCTTTTTCCTTTTTCGGTTTCCCGACTTTTTGCTCTTTCTTCCCTTCTCCCTAACCTAATACTCTGTATATTGTATGTATCTAACTGTATAAATATGTACATAACACACTCTGCATCTCCCTATTTCTACACTGCAAAACAGAAGGAAACATATTAGCCGTATGGAGACATCATCTTGTGCAAAATGATTTAGAAGAAGTAAAGAAATTCTAAGAATAAAGTAGCGAGAGGAAATTAAAGAGCATAGATAGAGATAAGTCGGTTTCACTGCAATTAAATCCCTCCCCCCAATAGTCCATCAATATTTGGGGAACCACCAAATTAAAGCAAGAAGACATAGGGTCTGTTTGCAATAGCTTAAAAAACTGCTTCTCTATTTTTGGCTTAAAAAACCAAAATTAATGTTTTCAAGTGACAACTTCTACTTAAAAAAACACTTCTCGGCTTTTGGATGAAAAGTGCTTTTAACTTTTTCTATTACACAAAAAATACTTTTTTACCAAACACTGCCAATTTTTACTTTTAAAAATCACTTTTTTCTCAAACACTATCAACTTTTACTATTAATCACTTTTTCCAGAATCACTTCAAAAGTGTTCTTTTTAAGCAAAAGCATTTGCAAACACTCTCATAGTGACGCCAAAGGATTGCAAACATAAATTCCGGCCATAGTTATGTTGATAGTGTGGAATATACACACATTTGGATATAGTAAAATACACACATTTGGAGATTTTATACAACTTGAATGAATACATCTGAGAATTTAGTAAATTCCAGCCTTGAGTGATTATTTGGATATAGTAAAAGGGTTTATTTGACCCTTTTCTCTTAGAGGCATTTATGAGGAAGACTAATTACTCTAAAAGAAAACTATACACACATTTTACCAAATAAAGTGACTAGTCAGTGTTCCCTCTGTTAGAGGAGGAAAACGATTCCCATATGGATGTGGGAATCAAATCTCACCTGAGAGGCTCAGAGTGGATCCCAGGAAAGCAACAAACGCCCCTTAGGGGCAGAGTGAGGATTTTTATGGGGGGTGGGGTGGAGGGGCTCCTAAAGGGGCGCGCCTTAAACTATTCTTGGTAATACATCTGAGAGTTTATACAACTTGAATGCATACAATATTAGTATGTGATCATAATATAATAATGATATAATATTGGAAAAAATGAAACTATTGCCCGGATCCATACAATGCGGACTGGTCCCTGAAGGTCACCTTTCCCATAAAGGGTTTTTATCCTGTGACGTCTTTTTGAGCGTCTTGTCCGGCGCTGGTTGGTGAACTTGGTGGGCGTAGTCCTAGGATTTGAGGATTCACACGAAACAGTCCAGACAATTCAGCAACAATTTCCAGATTTCCGCCTTGGGGACAAGGTGGATTTTCAGGGGAGAGTAGTGATAGGCATGTGGAAAAGGACAACCAACCAATTAAATACTTTGAGAAGGTGTATCGAAGTATCAATCAGTTGACTAAAATAGTTAGTTAGCTGTTATATCCCTGCGTGGATCATTATAGAAGGAATATAAATAATAGGAGGAAAAAGGGAAGTGGGTTGTTGTTCAGTTAGTTTGAGCTGGGAGATCTGAGACTTCTACAATTGTCTCATTGGTGCTTGTAATCCTTCTGTAAACCTTCCATTAATACAATAAAGCTTTCTTGATCTGTTCTTTACTAATTCTGTGAGATTCTGAGTCGGATTACTAGTGTTCTATCATTAATATAATGTAGTTTTAGATGAAACTTTGAGTGTTCAATCAAAAAGCATAGGATAGATAATGAGGGTTCTTCCTTCATACTCCCTCCGTCCCGCTATGATTGTCCCATTTTACCTTTTCGGTCCATCCCATTAAGATTGTCTCATACCTTATTTGGTAATATTTGTATGGTTTTAAATCATTCTTACTTTATTCTTACTTTATCAATTCAATATCAACCACATAAACCCACTTTTATTAATAACCCTGTCACCTTCTCTTGTCCCAAACTTAGGGGGACGAGGGTAGTAGTAAATATCACCTTGATGTGATATCACTAATGGTAATTATCAAATTCCAATATAACCGTACACTAAAAAATAAAAAAGTTTTAATTGTTACAATCTAAAATGTATTCAATATGATTTTTTTTAGAGAATAGCACATCAAGTTTCATTAAGGATAATAGATGTTTCAGAAGTAAAGCTTTCCTTTATATGCGTGTTAGATATTCATTGAATAAAATGGATATCATAACCCAATGTCTTCTTTGAGAGACAATAAACATAATATATTTAGAAAAATAAACACTTATTATATTACTTGGTGTTCAGTATCTTTTTTGCTTGATGTCTTTTTGTCTATATTGATTATAGAAAGACGTCTCAAAATAGTTCTATTCTATCTTTCATGTTCTTCACGAAAAATATTTTTCCTTCCTTCACCTGGACTATTAATCATAGTTCGGCTTATTATGATTTATAACAATCATAAATATCAGATTTAGAAAGTATCAAATATAGAAAATAAAGAACCTCCATGATCCATCCAATGCTAATGAAGCAATTAAATTATTCCGTCCAACACATAACATGGAAGAACTTTTTGAGAAAATAAAATCATGAAGCTGCTCCCACGTTTGAAACCAATATCAGGCTCAGGCTGAAATTATGCATCTGCTCATATTCGCATGATATGGAAAGAGATGTTAAAGCATACGTAAGATTTAAAGCATATTTGGGCTTACTTTCAGGAGTGGGCCCAACTTCTTGTCAACCCCTGGAGAAAAACAAATTGTCTACAGGACCTTCCTCCTTCACCATAAGGCGCGCCTCAGTAAACGCCTTGTTGCATACGCAATAGGCGTAATCATATCCTCAGGTACAACTGTGCAGGTTTTATATTGCTTAAAATGGGATATGCCTCCCATCGTAAATAGGAAAAAATGCCAAGGCAGACCTTGAGCCGGCAGTGGCAGAACCAGAAATGGCAGGTTAAGGGGGTTGGGGCTTCAAAATTTGTATTGGATGGGACAAAGCTTAAAATTTCACTATATTTTGTAGTGCCTATAACTGCTTATACTAATGTATATACATCACAAACTTTTTCTTGGGGGTGGGCCCCCTGTCATAGTTATTACAACATTGTTACATCATCACTTAGTCATCGCCTGATAGGTACACAGATTTAGTAACAATAGATCGATCAATATAATTGAGCTCAAAAGGCAGACACGACGATGAAGACGATACAAGACAGGGCACTTCGAGAGGCCTCTACTCTCCAGAACCGAATTCCCAATTCTAAAATCTGCCTAACGACCCTCTTCTTCCCTTCTCATTCTTATAGTTATAATCTCCTAACGGGCCAGCCCACATTTTAAGACATGGCCCAAGATTCTTATTTAATCAATACTACACTTATTTAATATCAAACTACAACTACTATTATTATTTTCTACAGCCCAGGGCCCTATCATATCTCCCCCTTGAAAAACCACCTTGTCCTCAAGGTGGGTGATATGACACAGCCTTGATCTTCTTGATCTTGAACTTCCTCTTCATCCTGGAGCCTCTTCCTTCCCAATATATTGTTGATTTTTGTATCCCTATTTTCAGCACTTAACCCTTAATCCTTACTTTCTCAGACCAGCAATTCTCTATGGTCTTCTCAGCCTTTCCATAGAGCTCATTGTTGTCTCGAATCTGGAATTTAGCAGTCTTGTCTAGTCCTTCATAATAGTCAACCATATGCACACCTAACTTGACCCCACTATTCAACCCAACTTCTTTGTCCCCTTTGCCTATTTTCAGAATGTTCTCCAGCCCTTCAAGGTATGCAGTAACAATTCTTGGATCTTGACATAACAAGTGATCAGAGAGCATCTTAATGCAGCCGCTACTTATCAAGCACATATTCTGATTATGAGAGCCTGCAGGTTCTTCATAACAAGATATCGCCCCTGCAGCTTCTTCCTTGCTGTCAACTTCTTTATGAAGGAGGTGTACTAAAGGAATAGTGATAGATGCCGCACTAATTGCATTGATAATATTTCTACTCCCAGCAGTGATATTAGGTTTTGTCCAGCAAACTTGAGTCCATACTTCTTCTTCTTTCATATGGACAAATGGCTGATAAACTGGCAATACACCTTTAAAAAGGGTAAATGGAGTTGGTGTCCTGCATCGCCATGAGTTTGATAAAATCCCTATAGAATTGGTCAACATAAAAAGCTCTGAATGCTCATATGACGGAACTAGCAATGGTAGGATTGCACCATGACCAAGACCTTGATCGCTACAACCTGGATCATCACAAGAAAGCTTTCCTAAAGCCCAAGTAGCCTGCTCACGAAACTTATCACTTGGAGGGCTGCGTTCAATCGAAAACAGTTTTCTTATTGGTGTCGTTGCTTTAATTCTTGCAGATGGGTCCTCTGTAGCTTCAGCAACTGTCCCTTCAAGCACAGTAGGCTTTGAAAGTGAGCTGGCATCGGTCACCAAACTATCAAGCCCTGCAGAAACAACCTTAGAACCTTCACCATTAGGAACTCCAGAAACAACCTGCTCCGGTTTCCGCAATACAGTTGTAGGTTACACACAGTTGTCAGCAACTTTCAGATGTTCAGAATAAGAACCTTGATCATAGCTCAAACTATCAAACCCTGCAGAAGAATTATTTTGGTTTTGCATTTCAATTTTGTCCTCCTTGTTCTCAGAGTTGGATTCATTCTCTTCTATTTCCTCAGTCTCCTTTATACAAACAGTCCTGGTAGAGCTTTCCCAAGTATTTGAACCAACCATTTTAGCAACGACAGATTCATATTCCATGGCAATGGACTGATTCACCACAGAAGTTTTGTTCTCTTGTTCCCCATCACCTTTGATGAATGTATCCTCAGGTGATTCCTTTAGGTACGACGAAACTTGTGCCATAGGAAACGCTGATTGGGCTGAAATCTGCGAACTGGGAGAAAATTTTAGCGAGCAGACCTGCGAACTTATAGAAGCTGTTTGCGATGGAGATGACATCTGCGGAGAAATAGTTCTCGATGATAAACTGTTAAAAGCAGTTTGCGACAAAGATTTCGAACTTAAAGCAAATATTGGAAATCCCGAATCCTGTTTTTCTGTCTTCCGGCTGTGTTGTTGGAAACGCCTATTTATGGCTTCCTTCAGAATCTTCCAACTCTTCTCTCTCGTTTGAGTATACCACCATGGAAACCAGGCTAAGGCTCTTTCCTCCATAGCACCTTCTGCTACTACCACTTTATTTTTTTCAGCAGTAGCCTTGAGACGGAAATACTCTTCCATCTTAACAATCCAACTATCCGCATCATCCCCTGTAAACATCAGTAAATCAACCTTCATTACCTTACGAACAGGCTTTACGCTGCTACAGCGACCCCCGCATTTTAAGACATGGCCCAAGATTCTTATTTAATCAATACTACACTTATTTAATATCAAACTACAACTACTATTATTATTTTCTACAGCCCAGGGCCCTATCATCGCCTTGGCGTCGCGGCGCTCAGAGAAGGTCACCATGGAAGCTCGACACGCCATGACTCATTAGGCGTCGCCTTGGCGTCAGAAGACGCCATAGACGCAAGATATTTGTAGTGTTGTACACACTTTCCTTTGTTGTCTAGTGTCTATTCTTTGTATTTCTTTTTTTGTGAATCCGGTAGGCTGTATTAATTTAAAGAGTAAAATTTCTTTCTACTCTTTTTATTTGTAGTGTTGTACTGTGTAATGTTGCACAGAAACTTTTTGAAGAGTTTCTATTGTTACTATTTTATATTCCGTAAAACGTTTCAATTTTCTGAAAACAAATTTCAGTTTTCCTCAAATAATGCTGAAACTTCAGTTTTTTTATAATTAGTATTTGATAATTTCATTGATGTCTTGAATTTATGCTGAATGTTCAGTTGTGTTACTTTACATTTCATAAATTGTTTTTAATTGTTTTGAGTATTTTTATGTTGGATTATGCTATTTGTAGTTCTTGGATCATGGACAATTTTTGTGATTGTTTTGATGAACTATAGACCTATGGTTATGGTCTTATGGATTATATTGTTTCTATGATTACATGTTTTACTACTTGATTAGTAGTGTTGGCTATAAGCGTTGCATGTAGACATTTAGTATATAAACCATATTATGGATTTATTATTTTACCTATGTCGACTTATAGCCGCGATGTCGCCACGGCGGGAGCCATATCGCCATGGCGGTATGGCGGTCAGGAGGCGCCACGCCGCGAAACCCCGCCGTTACAACTATGCACCCTTTCTCCACCTCTGTGAGCCGGTAAGGCATTGCGTAATAGATTCCACTTTGTTTCGTCTTTCTAAATAAGGTCAGCACCTTCGAAACATTTTTGCACAGATACATCACGGACAGGCAAAAATAACAGTAAAAATGGGTTACCTTATCAGCACTGGAAGTTCTAGGAGTAAAACTATCCAACACAGCTTGTCTTTTTGCCTTGTGTTCTGCCTTTTCACAATTGGTTACAAAGTCATGTAGCTCCCAGAATGCGTCTGTGTCTAGAGCCTCAACGGTTAGTTCAGCATCATCATATTTGACGCTATTCCCCCGCCTTAAAATTTTATATAACTGGTCTATCTTCTCTTCAGATAAATTTTGGAAACTCAACAACCTAAGTTCAAGTTCACGTTTTTCCTCCATGCTAATCTCCCTCTTGATTGGATCTCTAGCTCTCAGCTTTTGCTCTTCCTCACTTGCAACTATCTCTTGAATTGGCAGCTCCATATCAGAATGTGGACAGATTTGAGACAGTGGAACTGAATGTGTTGATGCAGTGGATTATCTTTGGAATATCTCTTGCCTCTTTGACACCTGTGATCCTGTGGGATTAGCACAACCTTTGACTTCTTATAAATCTCAGGGACTGACTTGTGATTCCTATAACTGCTATGCAAGGTTTAAAAAGTCAGGTTTGGGTATCAAGGTGGTTTGTTATTAAGAGGCGAGACGAAAGCCTTGACGCTTATTGAGGCGTAAGCCTCAAAATATTTTGTTTAGCTATCTGAGTTATTACATAATGATTTATTAGATAATAATTCTGAATAATTGTTAGTGTGCCATGAATATCTTATGATGTTGTTCTATTATTTTAGAGTCCAATAGCTTAAAATCTCTAAGAAGAACCGGGCACTACGAGTGAAACTGGTGTTGTGGTGTGCATATGGAGGTCCAGCTTTTCCAAAAATAACATGACTAACCCATTGGAGTGCATTTATCATGATATCAAGGTACATTTGAACCATTTGATTATGAATGATCTATAATAATTCAATCACGATTACATTTCACATTTCATGAAATATTGTCACAAATTGAATAACATGGTAAAAACGTTCTACAACAGTTACTACAATTTACAAAAAAAAAAAAAAAAAATTAAAATTTTACCTTCCTTTGTTTTAATAAGGCTGGGTTGATTTTGGGTTGTTAGGGAAATAATGGTGTTGAGGCTAGAGATGACTTCTGGTACTTATAGCGTGCAAAGAATGGGCAAGAATGGTGTCTATACTACCAAGTGAGGATGATTTTAATAGTTCATTGTCTTAATCCAAAAAACGAGGAAACCGGGACTTGAGGGCTGGAGAAAGCCTGTTGCTGCGGCTGAATAGATGCCTGCGTCTGGAAAACCGGTTGATGCTCCAGAAAAATAGATGGCCTGGTGGAAACATAAGGGGGATTATCAGCCATGGAAAAATTTGGTGGTGGAGGAAAATTGGTGAAGAGAAGGGAGGAGGTCGGCCGCAACAAGGGAGAACCGGACGTAGGGGATAGATGTGCAGCGGAGGAGGTGAAGACCACACTTGGTTGGAGGATCGATGTTGAAGAGGATTCCGGTGCCGAAGAAACAGCCGAGCTCATGGCAGCCGAAGCCATAGCGGTGGAGGAGGAGGCGGACGAAGCCATCGTCCGATAGTAAGGAACGAGAGAAAAAAAAAAGAAAAAAAAAATAGGTTTGGGCTCTGATACCATGTGAAATAATGGGAAAATGGTACTCCAATAGGAGTCCTGGCAGGTATATTTATATTAAACAAGAGTTATCAAAAGACACAAAGATTCCTAAATTATATAAACTATTAGTTCTTTCATGGTTGGGTTTAGGTTTTGCTCTCTATAAATACATGCTCTTTCCTTGTAATTATTATTAGAAAATAATAGTAACATCTTGACTTGGTAGCGCCCCCAGACGTAGACATTCTTGGCGAATTGGGTTACCAAACTCTTGTGTTCTTTCTTATCGTTTTTCGTATTGAGCGTGCGTTAATCTAACATGATTTATCAAAAGTATTTTATAACTCCGTATTATTTATCAACTACTTTGTATCTGTTTTCCAATATTTGATTTTGTTGCTTTTGGATAGTAAACCTTCTATTTATGGTTTTGAAAAATTTATTTTACTGAAAAATAAAATAGTGTGATACTTTGTGTGATATTATCTAATATTACACTTGCATACTTAGGACATGTTTACTTCAATTCTTAATAAAGGGTGTTTGCTAAGGTAATAAGACGTTGTTTAGTAAGTCATGTTAATTTACATTCACTGGGTTTAAACATGTCTTATATTGAAATTGTCAAAAATTACCCCAAAGTAATGAAAACCCCATCCAGTTATATTGGCAGCCTTTGCAACGCATCTACGGAAAGTTCAAGCGGTTCCTAACGCTTTACTTCAGGAAATAGGTATCCAAAGGGATCCAAATACCTAATCTGAGAATAGGTATACAAAAATAGGTTAAATAGCCATAATGAAGTAAACATTGCTGGGGCAAAAATACTAGCACTCCGTAGTTGATTACTTAGCACAAAAATCTAGGAGTACTTCCTAGTCTAGTTAGCTTTTTCCGTTTTAAACGCGTTTTAAACACGTACCATCTTTTGACCAAAAAAACACATTTAAAAAGGGGGGAAATGTCGGTCCGTTTAAAAAGGAAAAAAACTCCTACTTCCCGTATAAAACATATTTTTCTCGTATCTTACAAAAAACATAAACATGAATTGACCAATTGAATGAATGCACTAAATGCATAGAAGATCAACAATAGTGTAAAAGTAAAAATGAAAACGTCCTCCCCATGATCTCGTGTTTTTGTATTGTTATAGTGCAATTATTAAATACTAAAATTAAAGCTAGCATCCTGAAATACTAAAACTTACGTAGTAATATACTACAAGATTTCTGATGTTTTTTCAAGATAGCATATCAAAATTAAGATTTTTCTAAACCTACCATTTTTTTAGGGGAAAGTTCCCGAAATAGGACTAAAACAGTTTGAAAATTCTAAAATAAGACTGACATGTTTTTTATTCCCAAAATAGGAGTAATTACTACCAAGTTTGGAAAATAATGTCATGTTTGAAGTCTGGTACCGCCAAAACATAACAGTACCTAGTCCTACTTTGAGAGTAAAAACATGGCAGTCCTATTTTGGAATTTTCAAACCTTTTTAGTCCTATTTCGGGTAATATTCTCTTTTTTAGCATAAACTTTTACACAAACAATAATAAGTATAACAATCACACAACTGTTGTCATATGTCATCTGTCATCTTAATGAAAATGATGAGTTTAACTTGAGTGTTATTTGATAATCATATAAAGATAATGATTTTTTGACATTATTTTTCAAAAATTATGTCTTGGACTTAATTACTGCTTTTATTTTTGTCATCGACTTATGCAATTACGAATTATTCTTGTATGTAGTAATGAGATTTGCTACTTGAATATGTGTATACTTTTATTTCTTTTTTACTATATGTTATTTTATGAAATATATCATTTAAATGTTCAAAATAATACCCGTATTTTTTGTCCGAATTTTTGTAATAGACAACGTATTATACACGTATACGTATTTACACGTTTTTTAAAAGTCAACGTTTTTTTCAAAGAACTTCTGACCGTTTTTTCATTCATGTTACCGAATAAAACGCGTATGTATTAAACCTCGTTTAATTCCCGTACCGTATTTAACTAACCAGGCTTCCTAAAAGCCATTGAGTGGGGCAAATGAGTACTACGTATCCAGGCCTTTAATTTTTGGAAGTGGGCATGTGGCATCCTACATCAAATGGAATTCTCCATGTGCTACAGCCTACGGTGAGTACGGTCCTGCTTAAGCTTTTTTGGAGGAAGTGACTTTCGTTTTGCTCCTTTAAAATAACAAAATTACCGCTTCTTGACCGGAAAACTTTGTCCAATTACAAATGTGTTAACTTTTGAATTTACAGTTTAGATTTCCGCAATCTAATCTCTTGGCTCTTTTGTTTTTCTCATTTAATTAGGCCGCAGGTGGGCTCAAGAAGGGACTTTTAAGTTTTAAGTAGCATTTCAGTACTCCGCCATTGGTTTGAGCACTCTCTGGCCCTAGTTTCTGTAGATTTATTTTTAAGGTAGATTTCAAATTCTTTTTTGTCATTATTTACTACTATGTACTACCTCCGTCCCGTTGGAATGTTCCCACTTTACTTTTTTGGATGTCCCAATGTAAAGTTCTCATTTCCCTAAATGGAAAGTTATCCTACATCAAAACAGTGTCAAACAGTGCAAAACAGTGTCAAACAGTGTCAAACAGTGTCAAACAGTGTCCAAACAGTGTCCAAACAGTAAAATTTACACCCTAGTAAGTTTATTTCCTTAATATGTGTGTAGGTCAAACCAGGAACATTCCAACGGGACGGAGGGAGTATCTTTTTGAAGTTCCTAGCATGTTTAAAGAAATCTTTTTTTTTTTACTCCGGATTATTTAGCACTCCGTAGTTTATTACGTATGTTGTGCTCTCTTGGTTATTACCCGGTTTTTATTGAACTTCACGCTATGACTTCACACAAAATAAGGAAAGAAATTTGACTTTACTCTAGAGAGTACACTGTTGAGGCACTATTTGGCATTGTTGAAACACTGTTTGGCACTGTTGAGACACTTTTTGGCACTGTTTGGCACTGTTTTGACGTAGATTTCTTTGCCAAAAAAGGAAATAAAGAAGTGTGAAGTTTATTTTAGACCGTCCAAAAAGGAAGGTGTGAAGTTTAATAAAAACGGGAGGGAGTATTTGTTTTGGATGTAATTATGAAACTTATTATCTGCAGCTATCCATGCTTCCACTATACGCAGCAATGTCATTGGCCATATAAGTTTAAGTGTATTTTAAACTTATATTGGCCATATAAGTTTAAGGGTTATATGTCATTGGCCATATAAAAACGGGGAGCATGTGCTACTGATAACACTAATTTTGCCCCTCAAAGTTGTCAAGCTCACATGCACTGATGGGACGCTCTCTTCTCTCACGACTCTTTCTCCTCAACAGCACTGCTCCCCGTTTCTCTTCTTCAGTGTACTGTCTCTAACTCTTCAGTTAAAGAGTGTTGCTTTTGCTTCTACTTTTAAGAAAATGACTTTTAAAGTGATTTTAGAGAAAGTACAATAGTAGAAGTTGGTAGCTTTTGAAAAAAATGATTTTGAAAAAGGAAAATATAGTAGTGTTTGGTAAAAAAAAGTTTTTTTTTGTATAATACGAGTAGAAAAAGTGAAAAAACAGTTAAAAGCACCTTACACTTGCTTCAAGCTTTTAGCTTTAAAGTCCTTAATTAGAAACAAGCTGAAAAGTTTTAGCTTTTATCATAAACTATCAATTAGAAACACCAATTTCAGTTTTTTTATAGCAAAAACAAGCTGAAAAGCACTTTTTGAAAACTTTTGCAAACACTCCTTTAGTCACCTTTTCTCCAACAATTCTTCATATTTGCTTTGTACACTGTCTTTACACAATAAAATTGCATGGTGTAGATCTTGATGCATGCTACATTAAAAGATTATGGTAAGAAATAAAAACAATCAACCAAAAGATTTAGGAGAATGATATGAATGATTGATTCTCTCCAATGTAGTTGGTTGCCTTAATTTTAATTTGATTTTAATATATTAGGCAGCTTATCTATTCAGGAAGTACTTTGCTAGGATATCTTCCATTCATAGATTAGGTACTTCTATGCATGTAATCCCTATTATAAACATAGAAAGGTTTTTAAGAAGAAAACGCCATAACTTTCCAACCCTTGTTTCATGTTTATTTTCCTCCAAGCTGCCATGATGTCTATGTCATCATGTCCTCAACAACCTATTTTCTTCATTAATGCCAGATTGCCAGCAAAACTCCGGGTAGTTAGCAGATTTATTTTTAACTCGCCAATTCTTTCCTTAAAATGGAAATGAAAAAAACTGAATGGGGAAGGCCATTGGGGACCATTTTGGGACAGATGGTTTTTTTTCTATATGTCATCCTTTTTCTGTATATGTGCTTGTATTGTATTCAGCATACTCTCCTTATACATTTGGTTTTCATTTATGTATTTATATATGTGTTTTCCCGGAACAGGTTAAGAAGACCAGGATTGATTCCTCAGATCCACAGTCAAAGTTTCCGGTGCCTTTGCAGCACCCCTATATCTGAATCTTCTGTTTCCGAGAATCTTCTGAGCACTGTAAAGTAATGACATTTTGAATTCTACTGCAAATATATGAAGGATTGAAGGTTAATGAGAAATATTTCATATAAATTTAGCCTTAAGCCCGTATCATTCATCAACTATGATGCCTTCTTGCCAGGGGTAATGCCACAAATCCGTGTCTTGTCCATAACTGCATACTTAAATCTGAGTTGCAAAGTCTACGGAGTAATTAGCAATTATTGGCAGTAGCCATGACTTGATAGAGAGTATATGAAAGATTGTTGAAACTATGTAATGAGTGTGGCTTACTTGATATTAAATAGGCTAGAGAGTATATGAAATATGTTGAAACTATGTATTGACTGTGGATAAGTAAAAAATGTATTTTATACGGTTAAGTCTAACTGTCTTCAGTTCATTTGATTTATCATTTTCTGAATGCTCATTTTTAATCCATTTTTGACAAAAGTATGAACTTGGCCCCGTTCAATTCTAATCAATTTGGTTTTTTCCTGCTGGCTGTGAGTCTGTGACTTAGGAAGTTAATAGAACTGATGCATATAGAATTTTAGTTAAATGACTTAATTATATATGCTCATTGTCTCATTGAGCTGGGACTTCATTATTACAAATTACATTACATTTCAATTAATGCAATTGAACTGAATCACAATTTCACTCTTTTGTACAATCACTGAATATCCAAAGTATTTACTAAATGTAGTTTTGTTTTGCTGAATGTAACAGGAAGAGAATAGTCTCTGGTGTACAGCCAACAGGGTCTATACACCTTGGGAATTATCTCGGTGCCATAAAAAATTGGATCCAGTTGCAGGTTTTTTACTAACGTGTCAAATGCAATCCATTTAATTGAATTCATGTTCATGCCTACTATAAGGATTTTAGTTTTGTAATAATAGTGAATTGATTAGCAGTAGTTGTAGTTGTTGGTCGTGAATCTTCACCGTAGCTACCTTCAAATGTTTGGTTAATGGTAAAAATATTCTTCACTCAGAACTGTCCCCTCCTGATAAGGGTAGCAAGCTTTCCAAAGCTCCCACTAATAGATGTCTTTGTGATCAACTGTGACTTAGTGTCCAATTTAAGAGTGTGATGCATTGTTTGGCTTATGAGGACTATTGATTCAAATCACTATTATTAACTAATAACATTGATAGCAATCATTTTTTATCATAATGAGGTGAACATAAACATATGGTATAATGGATATGAAAATGCCTGCATATACAATTATTTGCATCTACCGCAAGATTATAGAGGATAGTTTATGCGGATACAGTTGTCATTTCATTATATTTGGATTTTTTGGACTGTGAGAATGTTTTCTGTAACCTTTTTTTAATATGATTAGCCGACCCCATTTTTTTTAAAGTACGACACTGCTTTTTGCGGGGGGGGGGGGGGGGGGAGTAGGGAAAAGGGTCAAATAAGCACTCCAATTATTCACGAGACAGCAGTTGGATCCCCTAACATAATGACCGTACAACTAAGTATCCCAACCTTTTAACAATAGCAATTGGATCCCGATTAGCTATAATAGCATATAACCTTCAGGTCAGTGGCCACATCACTACCACATTATCACACCTTTGCCAACAAGCTCTACTTGAAAATATTCCCAGACTTATTCTGCTTTCATCCTCCACAATCTCAAATTTTCTCCCACGCTCACCAATATTGAATTACAGAATATAATGTAACCAAAGTGAAATGCATTCTGCCACTCGAAGTGTCAAATGATTACAGAGTTGTATGTAGACAAAAGTTTTGTCAACATAAAACCGGGGTGGGGTAGGGGAGTCTGAAAATCCTAGCAGTGGATGATAGTATTTTTTCATGTACTTTTCCTTCTAGTCTATCATCATCATCATCTTCTCCTGATTATGAAGGTGGGGGCGGTCTTGGATATGTAGTATCAAGGAGCTTATTCCACACCAGCAATAGTAATCCATTTCATAAGTATAGCATTGGCAACCTGTTGGCAACAGGTAAAAAGGGCTGAATTGCATCCTTTTCTGAGTTTGAATGCCTAGCTGTAAGGTCGAGGAATCAGTGGTGCGTCATAGCTAAATAGGGGATAGTTGGAGGGAAGAGGACTTATGTGACTCATTTTTAATATAAATTTGGCGTACTGCACTTTATTTATACTCTCTAAGTCACTCTCATCTCAAATTTACTCTTTGCAGGATAAGCATGACACTTTCTTCTTCATTGTAGACCTTCATGCGGTATGCTTACTTAAGCAATGCTCTTAATTATCAAATGTTTTTACTGACTTACTGCATAGTTTTCATTTATTGTTGGAACCTGGAATGACATTTCTTTCATTGTTTCACAATTGCGATAGGGAGATATTATATGAAAAATTGAAATTCCTTAACATTGTCAGGATCACCTTTATGTTTATGTTTTAAATAGTTTTTATTGGGTTAATGCCAAATCAATTATCATAATAGCTGGTTATGGTTAGGCTGAAGGTGGTGTTTACTACTGATGTTGGGTTGTTAGAAAAAGATTCACAAGCCCAATATGATCTCATCAAGATCTTTGTTACAATAATTAAAAGTGTTGTTGGTCAATGTAAATCCCTTGTAAAAGATCACGATGCTAAAATTTACATGATGGTATGTGTAGAACTTTTAACTTAAATCTGAAAGGCTATTATCATTTTTTGTTTTGTTTTGGTAATTAGTTTTGTACTTGGGTAGTTGTCAGGAACTTTCCTTGAGTAGAATTAATCCACCTATCTAATATTTATGTAAAAGAATCTCTCCTTTTCAATAATATTGATGAGCTATGTAGTTAACTCGCTACTCGGTAGTAACTCGGTCAAGGACCAAGTAGCGAGTAGGACCGATTACTCAGGATTACTCGGTGATTAGTCGGCCTTGTATTAATTAGATTTAATAACATAAGTGTCTGAGATTATAGAAATATAATAGTCTTAAAATTATCTTAAAATGCATAGAAATGAATAAAGTAATAGAAATGCTGATGATGGAGTAGCAAAAGTCATAAACATTCTAAGTCTTCAAGAAAATCAATCATCTAATAATATGGTAATATCTCTGTTCTCTCCCCATGTCTATCCTATATCATCTGATTTTCTCTTAAGTGTAGTATTAGCATATTCAGCACCATTAGAAGCCTCAGCAGACTGAGCAGAGTTCATGACTGTCAATTAGATGATGTGTGACAGTGTGTATCAATCAATGATGTGTCATAGTAAACAATCAATATAGTGATATTAATTAAAAGTTACGTAGTATAAAAGTTACGCAGTATAAAAAAAGTTATGTAGTATAATATATATAGTCATACTAGTGAAAAGAGAAATCATCTCATCAGGCCGGCCTGACGGGCTGCCCCGTCCGGCCGAGCCCGTTTGGGCACCTTCCCGGTGGAATTTTTTGATGAAATTTTTTGAGCATGTTCCTCATCAAGTCTAGTTTGTCCATACCAAATTTCAGCTCAAAATTCGATCGGGAAGGTCGTCAAATGATTTTTGCAAGTTAACTGGTCCGGAATATGTATTTTCCGGACCAGTTAACTTGCAAAAATCATTTGACGACCTTCCCGATCGAATTTTGAGCTGAAATTTGGTATGGACAAACTAGACTTGATGAGGAACATGCTCAAAAAATTTCATCAAAAAATTCCACCGGGAAGGTGCCCAAACGGGCTCGGCCGGACGGGTCAGCCCGTCAGGCCGGCCTGATGAGAAGAGCTCTCCTAGTGAAAATAATTTATTTATATCAAAATATATGTGTGTATCAATATTAAACAATCAAGATGGTGATATTTTAAGAATTCTGAAAAGAACATATGGCAAAGAAGGATGGGAGGGTGGAAGAAGAAGAAACGAGAGAGGGGAGAGGGGAAGATACGAGAAAGAAGATGACAACTTATTGAGAAATTGTAGTCACAGCTCTAGGGGGATAGTTGATGTCAGAAACTCCATTTAACCTTGGTTTTGTAACTTATCTTTCAATTTTATAAGGGGGGGCTGAGTTAGACCGAGTAACTCGCCAAGTTGTAAACTTCACCAAGTTGAGAAACTCGCCGAGTAACTCGGAAATAAAACACGGACCGAGTTAGGTAGCTCCTCGACAAGGCCAGTACCCGAGTTGCGAGTACTTGCCGAGTAGATAACCCAGCTGATGAGGATGATGTCAATAATAATAAAATAATGATGATGATAATTATCAAACAAGCTCTAGTATTTAGTTTTTCTGGTAGTAAGATCAGGTATATGATGATTTTTGCAGATAACTTTGCCATATGATGCATCGCATTTACTTAAAGCAACTAAGGACACAGCAGCTCTTTATTTAGCTTGCGGTGTGGACCCTACGAAGGTTGGATCTTCAGTTATCCAAGGATTTGGATTTTGGATGCCCATATCATCTTATGAGTCAGCTGCCACAATTTTCAAATCTCTGGTTTATGTCACTGTGTGCGCAGGCTACAGTTTTTGTACAGTCGCATGTTGCTGCTCATGTAGAATTGATGTGGCTACTGAGTGCTGCCACTCCCATTGGTTGGCTCAATAAAATGATTCAATTTAAAGAGATATCACGGAAGGCGGTATGGTGTAAACTTGTAAATTAGAATATGCTTCTGTAATCTCTTTCTTATGTATTATTGATCATCTCAACGTTTTTCTGTCTTAGTTATATGATTCCAATTACTCCCGCCCTTCTACATGCCAAACAGTTTCTTCCCTTTTAGTTCAAAATCTCATAATCTAATACTCCCTCCGTCCCGAAAAGGTTGGCCAAAGTTGACTTTCCCGTGGATTAATAAAGTAAAAACTGTGTGGTTGAAATTTGTGCAGAGGAGAGAGAATTAATTTTAGCCACATATTCCTTACTTTAAATGGAAATGGCCAATCTTTTTGGGACATCCAAAGAAGGAAATTTGGCCAATCTTTTCGGGATGGAGGGAGTATTGAACAGTGTGCTAAAACCAAGGGCCAAATAAATGGTTTACTATTAAAATTAAACCTGTCTCATTATTGTTTTAAATTAGAGGGAACACTATGTTCCTTTTGAATATGCGTAAAACCATACTCAAATTGGTCTAGATTAGCTAATGATTGATGGGAATAGATCAAAGGTGCTATGACAATGGACTAAAAGGAGTAATGAAAATGCTTGAGGTACACAAAATGTGTACACATGTCTGTCCTTCACAGAAAATTTGTCTGTCACAGACAACTCAAAATGAACTATCTGTGACAGACAAATTTTCTGTGAAGGACAAACATGTGTACACATTTTGTGTACACCTAGCAAAACTCAAGGAGTAAAAGTCCAACGATGTATCATGCACAACTCAAAGGTCAAAATGAGTTTTTGGTAAAATAAAAATAAATTGAAGTATATTCAGTTTGTAGAAAGAGGAAAATGTGAGTAATGCTCCCCTTTCGTAGTGGAGCCTGATGCTCTATTTTGGCAAATTACTGATGCTGCGTAGACCCCCCCTTACTCCACCGTAGGTGGGAGCCTTTGCAGCACTGGGGTAATGATGATGATGATCATCATTAATAAATGTATTAATATAATAGTTAGTTATATTAATATGTTAGGGACCGGGCCAATTAGATAATAAGAATAAAGGACCGAGCCTATTAGTCTATTAGAGTATTAATAAGAATAAAGTGTAATAGTTTAATATAAATAGAAGATAGCAAGGAAGGGTTGAGCAGGCTGTTTTAGACTTTGACTTTGGGAATTTGGGAAGATCGAGAACTTTCTCTGTCTTTGGGGGGCTTCGGCTCATTGTGGGGGCTTCGGCCAGAATTATCTCTTCTACTTCTGTAATTTGTTTTCTCGTAATCAATAAAGGTTCATCTGTTCTTGTTGATCTTTGTTAATTTTGTCTGGAAATCTGGAGGTTTCTATCAATTGGTATCAGAGCATGTCGATCGCTGGAGGAGATACACGCGCAAAGATGGAAGGAAGAATCAACGAAGTGCAAGCGAATATGGAAGAAGTCTGCGAGAGTTCCAGACTAATATGGAGGCGAGTTTTGCGGCGAGCTTTGCTGCGTTTCAAACAAGTATCGCGAATTTGGTGATTAACACCCAAAATCGGTCGCGGAACAGATCGCATGCGTCAAACGCATCACATCGCGAATCTCATCATCTTCACAAGCTAAGGTCAGCGACTACAGAGGAATCAGAAGAGAGAAGGCATCGCAGAACATCTGATCGATCGAGGGCCAAGTCGCAGACGAAATCGCAAAATTCTTCTCACCAGTCTCAGTCGCGGAAAGAGGCGTCATCATCATCATCGCATACATCGCGTCGATCTCACCACCACCATTCGCCTCGCCATCACCATTCGCCTAGCCATCACCACTCGCGTCACTCACGAAAATCAGTCAGTTCAGGGGATTCAGAAGGGTATTCTAACCATTCGCGAAAATCAAATTCCTCTCAGGCTGTCAGTTCGCTTCCAAGAAAAACGCGAGTGAAGGAAGAATCTCCATCGTCGTCGCTGGACTATTCTTTCAGTTCACAGGTTTCTTCTAGTGGGGAATCTCGCAGCTCATCAGCACCCAGGTCTTCATCGGTTGTGGTTCTACACCGTGAGCAAAGGTCATTAGCTTGAAGAATTTTTGACATAGGCCCATCAGAAAAAGAATCCCAGGGGACCTCACCAACAAGAATGAACACAAAATTAAAACCGGTGGTCCCTTCAGTGACGGAATCAGACTCTGAAGAGGAGGTTAATCAACGTATAAGATTGTCATCAGACAATATGAAAGGTTCAGAAATACTTAAACCCAATCAATGTTTACCAGATAAGAGTTTGGAGGGGTGGGATAAGATTGATTGTTTCAACATTGATATTGTTACTCCTGTGAAGTGTATTCAGAAGGAGTTGAGCGTACAAATTGTTGGGAATCATGAAGTAAACGAAAATAAAAATGTTAGAGGAATGCCAGTAAAAGGTAAACCTGTGCAAAAGGGAAGGGTAGGTTTGGAATGTCTTCATATGGCTAATGTGTTTGCTTTCCACAGCTATGAGAAACTCTATTCACCATTCTGGATGATCACACTGAAGAAAATGTTATCCTTGCCCGATGATCCCGCTTTGACAATTCCCTATTCTGTGGCTAGAAGACCAACTTATAGGGAAATTGTTAGATCCTATCTTGATTCTCCTAGCCTCCAGCAACAGCTACGAAGATTTAATGACTCTGGTTCTTTAAATGTGTTGGAATCTAGTATTGAGAACACCAATCTGATCAAACTCTGGGAAGATGATGATCTGGATGGAAACAAAGGGGTCTTACCGATCTGGGTGGTGGCTGATTCATCAGAAAAGATGGGTTTGATAGTCATTTACTCACTGGGATATTGCAAAACCTAAGGGTGCATCAAGTCCAAAGCAAGAGGCAGAGTTATTAGGTGATGTGATTTTTCAATGGAAGACGGGTTTATTTGAAGAGTTCCTAAGTAAGGATAGAGAGCTTTCTGCTACCAGGACTTTGTTTCTGCTCTTACTTGCACTGTTGAACATGAAGATAAAGGTTCAAGCACGGAAGCTACAAGTCCACCGACCCGTCAAGTATTGGGAAGGAAGAGGCGCTAGAAAGAAGGGGGAGCAGAAGATCACAGCGGTTTCCTATCACCCACCTTGAGGGCAAGGTGGATGTTTAGGGGCAGAGTATTGTTAGGGACCGGGCCAATTAGATAATAAGAATAAAGGACCGAGCCTATTAGAGTATTAATAAGAATAAAGTGTAATAGTTTAGTATAAATAGAAGATAGCAAGGAAGGGTTGAGCAGGCTGTTTTAGACTTTGACTTTGGGAATTTGGGAAGATCGAGAACTTTCTCTTTCTTTGGGGGGCTTCGGCTCATTGTGGGGGCTTCGGCCAGAATTATCTCTTCTACTTCTGTAATTTGTTTTCTCGTAATCAATAAAGGTTCATCTGTTCTTGTTGATCTTTGTTAATTTTGTCTGGAAATCTGGAGGTTTCTATCATAATAGTTACAAAAAGTTTAGTTTCAATAGAGAATCCTCAGGTTCCATTTTTGGCAAATGGCCCTGTATGAGACAAAGATGCCAAGAAGACCTTGAAGCATTCCATTTGCATATTTGTGTTAAACATTTAAGATATTGATAAACCTATATATATGATAACTTGATCAGGTATTATTTATGAAATGATTGGTCATGTTTCGTTATTTGCCTGTTTATGTTACATTATCAATCTTGTAATGGCATGGCTATAGACTCATCATCATCATTCATCATCATCATTACCCCAGTGCCGCAAAGGCTCCCATCTACGGTAGGTTGGGGGGGTCAGATGTACGCAGGGGTTACCCCTGCACTAAAGCATAGAGAGACTGTTTCCGGATGACCCGTGGTGAAAATTGCATTGAAAATTGCATGGACTGACTGCTTCTTAATAACAAAGAAGCGCAGACAGTTTAGTGAACCATTTTGCTTTATTCCATCATATTCCCCAGCCACAAAATAGTGAGTCTTTGGCTCCATTGCAAATAATGGAAAAGGCATGACTATAGACTATAGGCCCAAAAGTATACATGATCGGCCCTGACTATAGTATATAGTGATGATGAATTTGCAAATTTTAAAGAGGAAGTTTAACTTTTAAGTCTTGAATATATTCTTTCATCTGCAATAAAACACCCAGAGGAATCTACGCGACACTCCTGACAGACTTATCCAAAACACTCATTGTGCTTTTAGGATTTGCTCAACACAGTTGTTAAAAGAAGTATCTAAGTTTGCCCCTCTAGAGAATCGTATATATTATGTAGATATTTACATGGCTTGTAGCCTATATTGCTTTTGCTGAATTTGAAGATTTATGTACTTGTGGGCTAGTGGCTAGTGGTACTGAACTCAGTATAGCGCCCAAAATCTGATTTTTAGTAATACTGAGTTTGCTGCAACTTTCTGTGCATTAAAAATAATTGTTATTACAATTTCATCATCCTTCATTTGGTTGTTCTTGATAGTTCCCATGAGAATTGGTTTTTTTCCTTTTGTACCCAGAGAGATGAAAATGTTGGGGTTGCCCTTCTAACCTATCCTGTACTGATGGCTTCTGATATTCTTCTATACCAGGTCATTTCTCTCTACTTGCAAGTTGCAACACAGTGGAATATCCAAGTAGTAATCTGTTTGCATGAATCTACATTTTAGCCCATTCATTCCATCATTTTAGCTATTCTTTCATTGGTATGACATCACGAGTATATTGATTTTGTTTTTGGTAACATTTGTCGCGTTGCAGAAGATATCACTGAATCTTATGTTTTTATTATATCTTAAGTTCCAACACTCTCATATTTAATAATTTAAACTGTTTCTGCAGCCTGATCTTGTTCTTGTTGGAGAGGATCAGAAGCAACATCTTGAATTGACACGAGAGCTTGCAGAACGAATTAACTATTTATATGGAGGTAAAAAATGGAAGAAGTTGGGAGGGTAAGTTTACATGTCTTCCACTGTTCCACATTCTTGCACAAAACCGGTTAATGGCTTGGTTAACCTGCATGGCTTGAAGCATTGATACATCCCCCCCCCCAAAAAAATTAGTAAAATAAATAAACTCTTGTAGCAAAAGGGAGTCCTATTTCATCAAATGAAACAAAATTTGCATGTAAGTTGCTAAAACATTAACAAGGTGCATGTGATAAATTAGTTCGACAACAATTAAGAGTGTAAAGTAGGTTTTTTGTACCTTGACCAGAGAAGACTATTTTTCTTTTGGGTGGGGGAGCATGCCATTTTTTATAATTTTAAATTTTACTTTACCCTTGAATAAGTTGAATTTATTTGAGAATTAATGATATCCTCATGTGGCAGGCGAGGTGGTCCAATATTTAAGGTGAATTATTTCTCATATATTTGTGTTGTCCTTAAACATGGTCATAGTTGGCACAATAGTTACAGGATCTGTTTCATTCATGCAGGTACCTGAACCTCTCATTCCACCTGCTGGAGCTCGAATAATGTCCCTTACTGATGGCCTTTCAAAGGTTTTAAGTCAACATGAACTTTTTTGTCTCTTGCAGTCTTGACTTTTTCATAATAACATATAAATATGGACAGCCCCTTCGCATCTTGTTCTTTCCTGGGGTAGTTGATTTTTCTTTGCACCTGGGATTTGTTATCATCTCCCTGAAACAATATTCATACTAAAGCCTTGTGTATCTTATATATTGGAATATTTAGTCTTTTCAGACATCTTTTATTTATGGTGCTAATGGTTTTTTGTGCTTAGATGTCAAAGTCTGCACCTTCTGACCAATCTCGTATCAACTTGCTTGATCCAAAAGATGTAAGTTTCAGTGTTATATATTCATTATCAGCTTCTGTTTGTGAACAGTGGCGGAGCCACCATTGTTCAAAGGTGTTCAAGTGAACACCTAAAATAATGAAAAAATACTAGTATACATATATAAATGTAATTTAATTATTTATTGTTCTTTAATTGTACAAAGAAAATGAACACCCAAAATCTCAACTGTAAATCCGCCACTGTTTGTGAAGCTTTCAATAAATGATGTGTCCATAGGTTTGAACATCATGATCTTTTACAAAATAGAAAATTAGTTAGAAAAACCCCTTTTGGTCCCTCAGTCATTGTCTTGTGGTTTGGGTTCTCATTTTCAAGGATCACCACCCACAATTTCCGTTCAATGGCTACCTTTTGAATTAGCATGTGGTGTTTTTTTCCCTCTCTGTCTCTATATGGTTGTTCTAAGCTATGAAAAATGTGATAGGTTTTAAATACAATTCTGACCAATTAGTCTCTCATCACCCACTACTGAAAACCATTTGTGGTCAATAAACACATATTAATCTTCTTTAACACATACCTTTAATCCTACTAGTTCTACCAGACTTGCTTTACCATGCACCCAGAATACTTACAGTATGAAATGTAGTTGTGCTTCAAATGGAGATTTTGAAATGTTTTTGACACTTTCTATAATGGCGCTTTTGTGATTTTCTATAGCTATGTTCAAGTTAAGTTCTCGGAATAAAAATCCTGCACTAATTTGGTTATTATTCTGTTATGAACACCACATTTAATTGGACTGAAATTGTTTTACATATTTGAATGTTTGAAAAGAAGGGGAGCCTTGGCGCACCTGTTACAGTGTTGCCGTGTGACTGTGGTGGGACCCTTCCCCAGACTCTAGTCTTGTGGGGACGCCTATGTGCACGGGGCTGCCCCCTTTAGTTGAATGTTTTAAGAACTTCTTACTAAAAGATTTCAGAATGAGTTTTCTTTTTAGTGCCAAGATCAGAATGTGTTTTTTTGTATGTAAGAAGTAAGAAGTGATAGATCATATAAATATATGCATTTAGTTAAATTGGAACTTGGAAGTACTTATGTTTTATTTTGAATTTTCTACAAGGAATGATAAAATGAATATTTATGACCCTACAACTCCCTAGCTGTAACTGCAATGGATTATTTTATCAACCTCAAATGAAGTTTAATATTTAAGACTAAATAGGCATTTTTCGAATTTTATTGTTATTCATTATAAAAATGCTATAAAAAGCCTTAAATATGTTTTTAGTCTCTCTGCAACCATAGTGTTTTCATTTTAGATCCCCACATTGTTTTGTAATTTATGTTATAGTTTTAGTCCCTTACTAACCCTAACAAGTAACAACCCTGTTTGACATCAAAATATACCTGATTTACAGGTTTTTGTCTTTCTTTTGAACTCACTCAAAAAATGCTTTAAATTTTATTTTTACAGAGCTATTGAGACATACAAAAGCTTGAGAGATAAATTTCACTTAGTTTTATCACTACTATTAATATCCAAAAAGTTACGTAGTATTAAAATGGGATAATTTGAGTTTGCACCCCATATTATTGTCTAAATTGGACTTTGCACCCCATTGTTAAAAATCTTTGTTTTTGCACCCTAACCTCATATGAAAAGACAAAAATGGCCTCAATCGGGAATATGTTGAAGGTCAACTGAATTGTCAATGGAGGGGCATTTTTGTCTTTTCATATAGGGTTGGGGTGCAAAAACAAAGATTTTTAAAAACGGGGTGCAAAGTCCAATTTAGACAATAATATGGGGTGCAAACTCAAATTATCCCAATTTAAAAACTAAAGTGAGAAGTTTGGAAAAGAGTTACGCTGACTGGCACGGAGTTAGATAGGGACTAAGATGAAATAGCATATATTTCCAGGATGAACAACATAAAAATATTTTGCACGGATTGAAAACGAAAAGTATTATACTTACAGGGACTAAAGGTGTTTTATTAAGGGGTTATGTCTAAAATAATACTACAAAAAGAGCTATGAACATAAAAGAGACCTTTTTTTTCACTTTCCAAAAATGGGACTAAAAAGGGGATTAAGAGACTATTATACCTTTATACTAATATAATCTCATCGATTAGTGCTCCAGTATAGTCACAGTGACCAATGACAATACAGTGACAAAAAATCATTAGTGCCGAAAAATCCAAATTCTGCCAAGTGACAAACGTTTACCCGTCTAGTGACCAACGTCCGCCCGTACAATTACTGTTACCCGATTCATCCAGTTACCCGACCCGTTCAATTACAGTTACCCAACCCGTCCGGCTACATTTACTCGACCCGCCCGATTATAGTTACACTTACATAACCCGTCCAGTTAGAGTTACCAACACGTCCACTTACAGTTACCAACTCGTCCAATTACCCATAAACCACTACTGACCACCGCTAATTACCCATAAACCACCACCTCCCACCGTCACCACCAGCAACCACCACCTCCCACCTCTGGCGAGCACCACACCCAATCCCAATGCCTCACCCAGCCCTCTCCCCTGGTCACCCTAACCCCCCTGCATCACCCAGCCCACTCTCCCCTGCATCACCCATCCCAATGCTCCGACCACCGCCAGCCATGCTCCGGCCACCGCCGCTCATGCTCCAGCCGCCGCCGGATCGGCCTTACAAACCTTACCCGACCCCACCATCGCCCAAGACCTTGTCCAGACCTCACCCCATGCCCTAGACAACCGGGCACGTCACCTCCGCCCACCATTTCCCCCTCCCCTGCTGCAGGCGGCCGCAAATCTGATAATTAAGGCCGCCGCCATCGCAATCGAACTGCAGCCGCCACAGATCTAGTAACATGGATGAAGGCTTTGTTGAAGCTTCTCCCATCGTCCATGGAATCGTCGACCAAGACATCTTCGTTGCTGAGCCGCTGAAGCACCAAGACGAAGAACAACGTTGCAGACGCGAGCGGGCGGTGGCAGGCGCGGGCGGCGGCGTGTATCGGCGAAAAGGTGTCCGACGTTGATGTTTGGAGCTTTGGTCGGTGCTGTTGTTGCGCACAGGGGAGAAGTTCGGAGAAGACTGGGATCTGGTGCGTTGCTTGGAGATCTGGTGCGGTCCTTTTTTTGTCAAATTAAAATTCAGTCCTAGTTTTGGAAAATGAGAAGTCCGGACTCCTTTTTTAGTCTTTATTTCTTTTATTAAACTTAAAGATAAGAGATGTTTGTTAGCTTCTAATATAGGGTATTTGTCTTTTAGAAAATTTGCTTCAAACAGAAAGAAACTATGTTTAGGTCTGCAGAATCCACTTTTATGTTATAGAGTATTTGTTTCCTCAGCAGTAGATGATCATTTAGTATTGCCATGTATGTTTATAAGATAAGAATTTTGCCATGTATTGTTGTCATATAATTTGTCAATTTGTTGTTTTCTTTTGTAGGCAATAGCAAATAAGATAAAACGTTGCAAGACTGACTCATTGAGTGGGTAAGTTTTCCTTATTATATCTATCAAATACTTGAACGAACTCCAGATAAAAGATTTAGTGATAGAGACTTTACTAATCTGAAGAAAAGAAGATAAATACTCTAATAAAGTGTATTTTAGAAAGAAATAGGGTCTGTTATTAGTCTAGTTTGTTATGAGCTAATAACTACCGGGGGGCTAGCCTTCCTTACTATAAATAGACTACAGTTAGAAATTGTAAGGAGGTTGTTTTTAGACATTAGTCTGTACTGGGAAGATCAGAGCATTGGCTCTATCTTTTGGGGGGCTTCGGCTCATTGTTGCCTAAGAGAATAAAGTTGCCTTTACGTTCTTGATTCAATTGTATGTTCTGTTAGATTAATCTGCAGGTTTCTAAAATTTAGTTTACACTAAATTTAGTTTTCAGTTCTCTCTTAATTTATTGTTTCATACTTTCATTAGCCTTTTGATTTATATTGATATGTAAGAGGGAATTTGGCATTTTTTATTCGAATATTTGCTGAATCCGCCCACCTAATTCTTACAATACATGAATGAATGGATTTTTAAACCTTTTGTACCTTTTTATTGTCTTACATATTTCAGCTTGGAATTTGACAACCTTGATAGACCAGAATGCAACAATCTTCTTTCTATTTATCAGCTTGTGTCAGGCAAGACAAAGCAGGTGATTGGAAAAGCTTTATATAACATAGTACTAAACAGAGAAGATTGAGAAATTTTAGACGGACTAGATTTTAAATTGGCGTGGCATGAAATTGACAAATGTGCTTTTAGAAAGGACTAATTACGTATCTACATGACAAAGACCAAGCTTCTTAACTTACTGTTTTTGAAAAAACAAAGGTTACAATTGGTCAATAGGCTTTACATTCTTGGATCAATATTACAATATGTATTTCATAGTACTTTTTATTGCCAGGAAGTTACTGAGGAATGCCAAAATATGAGCTGGGGAGCATTTAAGCCTTTGCTTACAGATGCTTTAGTTGCACATCTACATCCTATCCAGGTTGATGTTTATTTTGCTTATGAGGCATTTTAGAGGTGCTTGTGTATGAATTCCTTAGAAGGTCCCAGTGAAATCCCCCTCCCCTTGTGAGGTTTAATATAGGTAAAGAAACGTTGATTAAATATTGGAAAGTTTTGAGGGGTGGAAAAATAGTACTCCATATTTAAATGGCGTTTACAAAAAATGCGGTATAAATACTTACTCCTTTAAATATTACATTCCACAGCACCAAAGTGATTTCTGTGGTCTTGTATTGTGTATTATGGAAGCTGGTTCATGAAAAAGCTCATAAACTGACTAAGATACATTTCTACAAATTTTAATCGCATTGAATCTAATGTGGCATTTATTGTATCCAAGTTACACAATAGTCAAATTTGATTGGAATTAACTATGTTGTGAGTTAATGTAAAATTAAACATTATAAGGTACCATTGTGACATACATTGATGAGTTGAGGTACCAAAACGATACAAATCAAATAGGTACAGTGCCACTTACCATTATAATGTAAGAATCAGTATGAGAATTAGAAATTCTCTCTCGTGGAAAGAATTGATTAATCTGAGTCTTTAGCATTGATTGTGTTGTATATGTATTGAACAATAATTCATGAAAATTAGAGTGAACTGATTGTAGAACTATTATATTATTGTAATGTCAATCACTTGGGTTTTACCAAATTGCAGGTTAGATATGAGGAAATAATGTCTGATAGTGACTGTTTGGATAAAGTGTTAGCAGAAGGCGCTATGAACGCAGCAAACGTTGCAAATGTCACTCTCCAAAATGTTTACCAGGCAATGGGGTTTATGCGGCGATGATTATAAATTATTTACATCTATACTAATATAAAAGCAAAAGATTTTTGATGCACAGTGTTCCCGCCGGAAAACGTCAACATCAGTCCTTTATTTGCTAATCAGTAAAAAAAAATACAAAATAATTATAATCTAAAGATATTACATCGGCCGAGTATTTTGAATAAACAAATCTTATTGATCCAAAAGGAGGTGCGCACAGCAGAGACATGTTCGTGTATTCCTATTGGTCCAAAATTGAGGTGCACACTGTTCACACAAAATCTTGAATTGATTTGGATTGCTTTGTTTCTATTGGATGGATCGGGCGGTGAGCATAGTAAATGGATTCAGTGTATTTCAGCAAGTGGCATTTTATCGATGAACTATAAATTCGGCACTCCCGCATGAGATTTCTCACCGCCATTGGCACAATCTATCTGTAATAGCAAAAGAAACAATATATTTCTTTCAATTCCTGATATTTATCAAAGCAGACCACTTGGGTAATAAAGGTCAGGATCACAAGAGTCCATCAAAGCAAACATTCAAGTAAGCAGATGCATAGAGGGGGTTGAATGCAAATAATAAAGATGTGTATTCGTCTTTTTGAGCGGTTTCAATGTTTCAAGATCACATCTGCAATGGGATGTTGTAGTTGGTGACAATTCTTCATCATCTTAAGAAAATAGAATAGGCGTGTAACTACTTTTTCAACATTTCCTTTGGTCAATACATACGAAGTATATTAGTAAAATATTCCATAGCTATAATGGAATAAATAGATGTATAAATAGATGTATAGGATCCAAGAGGCCAATACACAAAATACGGGTTTATTTTATTTTAGAGTGTTGAATACCCAAAATTATCACACCTAAGAAGTTTTTTTATTACGTCTGATCTAATCCAAGCACGAAATATGTAATCTTTGTTTATTGTTTGGAATCTGACATACTCTGTAATTATTATTGCTTATTTGGGATCGAATAAATCCATTATAAGAATTAGTGTGTAAAAGCTATTGGAAATATAGCTATGGGTTGGTATTGACTAGTGACATTATTGCAGAGTATGTGCAGGACATCTTCGCCAAGTTCATATTATATCTTCAAAGGAAAGATATAGATATTCTGATATTCATATAAAAACCAAAAAGTGTTCGTATGGTAATGAAATAATCCTTAAACATCTAAAGGTATTCATATGGTAATCTGTACGCGAAATGGTTTAGTGTACTGTGAGTGGTGAGTGTGCATTTTATATTAATATACAAAATATGTCTTTTGTTTCTTATCTTTAGTGTGTATGAACAAACAGTTCATGGATTATGTTGAAGAGGTATTGTTTTTTTTAATATTTAAGAGCAATAAGAATATACCATTGGCATTGGGGCTGATATGTGTGTCCTACAATGTACTTCAGCCCTTTGCTAGCCCAATCGGATAGACCCTTTGTTGTATCCAATCCCCCGGTTCCTCCCAGTTTATTGTCAAAATGGCAACATCATGGTTAGCACCTTATAGAAGCTCAGAAATAAATTAAATAAAACAAAATGAATATATTAATACCTCAAATGTTCTGCTTGGAGATGACGATACTTAAGCTTCACCAGTTGTCCATTGATGGATCTTGATATCTTGATATGGGTTTCATTGTTTCCTTTGGAACCATAAACGCAGCCCTTCTTTTGTATAATTGTTTTGTGTTTCAGTTCTGTGTTGTGTGGAGTCTGTGATTTGTGCGTTAGAGATTGAAGGTTAGAGGAGTAGTTCGGATTGTGGATTGTCGTAGTCTGTTGCAAACATTTAAATTTAAGCATGGGTGGGGAGGTGGGTGGTGTTTTAATGAAGTTAGGTGTATTAAGGGCCACGTCGCAAGAGTGTTGCATGTGGGATGGCAGGTGTAAAAAATCAAAGTGGATGGAAGTCTCTAGAATATAGGGTTGAGTTGTTCAATAATAATGAAGTTTTTTAATCTTCAGTTTTATTTTAATTTAGATTTACTCTGTACTTTCTACCCCGTGTAATATATAAGCCTTACGCCAAAAATTATTGGGAAAATATCACAAATAAACTAAAAAGTGGAAATAATATCACTTTTGTGACTATGCAAACTTCTTTTCAAACGTAACCATAGTTACATTTTACATTTCAAAAATAGACCACGCGTCCGTAGAGACGTAGAGTCCCCTGGAATGCATATTCCAATATTCCTAATTAACCATCGTCCATATGTGGATTATGTGGCTCCTCCACACCGTATATGATAAACTAATACCAGTACTGTCTTTAAGAATTACTCAATTATATAAAATTCTTCTCAAGTATGTTAAAATTTAAAAATTATTAATATGTAAAAAATGTAAATAATTAGGAAAGTAATACTCGGAAAACACTAAATTAAAAAAATAATGAAAAATTAAAGACACTAATTAAATTTTATAGTCATTTGAGAAATACATAGTAAAATATTCAATGTTCAAAAATTGAAAGTTAAATTTTAAAAAATCATAAATTAAAGGAAAAATTTGTAAAACTGAAATTGATAGTGGAAAATTTGTATACAAAACACGACTTGTTATAATGTAAACTGGAAAGTAAAAATTTTAGAAACTAAAGATGTACCAAAAATGAAAATTTAATTTTCGGAAAAGATATTCAATCTGAAAAATTATAAAAATTTATTAAAAAAATGTTTTAGAAAATACTAATTACCACAAAGTAATACATTTATTCATAATTAGAACTTTTTAAAAGACTAGAAACGTTTTAATAAATATTCTAGCGAATAAAAATAAATACATATGTATATATATATATATATATATATAATTTCAAAAATAAAAAACCAAACAATATTATGAAAAAAGGAATAAAAAAGGTATAAAAATACTCCGTATCAGGAAAAACAAAAGACAAATTTAAAACAGTATAAGGTAATTTAAAAAAAAAAGGTAATTTCAAAAAACAATCCATATAAATTCTCGAAATTATACAATAAAATAAAAAGATATAAAAACAAAATAAGATTCTTAGAATTTTATAAATATCAAAAAATTAAACTTAATTAGAACCAATTTAAATATTAATACCTCAAAAATAAAAATGTGAAAAAACTAAAGAAATACAAATTAAAAAAACTTATTATTGGGGATATTGTGTAGAGATATTTAAAAATAGGTGTATATTTTAGTTATTATTATTATTACCATTTAATTGTACTTTTGTTGCATGCAGTTTCTTTGTGTTTCTTTTTGTTGATAACTCTTGTTTTTTATTGTTTCTTTATGTTTCTTTTTGTTTTTTATTGTTTCTTTATGTTTCTTTTTGTTTTCATAAATCAAAATTTATCATATGAAATGAATGTCGCATACACATTGTATACTATACTTCAGATTCTCAGTGAAATATCATGCATACTTGATGAAATATCATGCGTAATTGATGAAAAGAACAAGAAAATTAAATCATCTAGGCTTATCCACACCTTGTTTAAATTTTCAACTATATATAATATAATGAAGTATGATAGTAAAATGCAGATGAAAAAGGCAAGCAAGTGAATTGAGCTTCCCAGCCCCTCAAGACATTAGCACGAGCAACGCGATTGACTCCGAAAGTGAATGCACCCCATCTTACATATTAGACAATATTTCATCAGCTTCAGGATCAGTAGGGTGGTTAGCACTTGGCAGCTTCTATTATGTACTTCGCCTTCAGATTCCCGGCATTCTCTGAGCACAGGGTATGAGAACATCACATTCATGTGTTAGCAACTCATTTGAATCCATGGCATCGCCACCGCTGAAAATATGAATGATGAGAGCAGGTATATTGATGCCTTTGGGGTTCTTGACAGCTCCAGTTATGTCACTGCAACAACCTTACCGCCTCTTCCATGAATAAGCTTTGACGCCCAAGATCCTACATTTCCGAATCCCTGAGCTGTGAAGGTCAAATCCTTGATTGATTTTGCATGCTTAGAAACTAAAGTTTCTGTTGCAAAAACCACGGTTACCACGCCACGTCCAGTTGCAGCTTCCCTTCCCAGGATCAATATATGAGTTTTTAGGTGTTCGTATATATACCTATATATGAGCTTTTATTTCAAATGAGTAACACATTATACATATAAATCGAAGTAACAACAAAATAGAAATTCAATAGTAAAGAATAAGATGCAACAAAATGCAACACAATATAACAAAATGCAACGCGATGCAACAAAAAGCAACATATTCATTGCAACAAAGAGCAACAAAACAAAAATTGTTGTTACATGCAAACAAATCAGTTTGCATTTGGGTGGAATAAGGTGATCAACCAAGGATCAATTCAAAAGATGGCATAGAACGGCCAATTAAAAAAGCAAGCACTCTAAGCAAAACCTGTTTGATTTTACACTTAGCAAGGCTTTACACAGAGAGGCAAAGGCTCAAAGCAGTCTATCCTGCCATATCTATCATGTACGATGTGTCGATGTATAACACATTAACACCAGTGAAGATATTTCATGCAAAGCATTAACTCTTAAGGAATCAACAAGTAACACATAATCATCACCACTGAAACTCAGGGTGGCAATTCAGAATTCAGATGTTGGGGACAGAGTACAAAAAGAGAAAAGTAAACAACTCCACAAAATTACCATCATGTACACTACACATTCATTACGGGTTAGCACTCTGAGAAATGGCTCCTCAAAAAGAGGAGTTGTGGTCCTTGCACCTTTTGCAGATCCAGGGGGTAAATCAATCAATCGGTCTATGAATAACCGATGAAGAAGAATAAATTTTACTACTCTCAATCTTTGGAAAATTATATGGAACATTAAAAACAATGAACTCTACATACCACAATTTGCAGAAACACATTGCTTTGTGATTCTAGACCAAACAACTGGACCAAGCAACATCCAAATATAGTAGTTGCTAGTGATTTTAACTCAATAATGATGCTTACAAGAGGTGTGTACAAAGTGAAAAGTTGCACTGGTAACTTTCAAGCATAGATGTTGTTGATCTTTCACAATATCAATGAAATCTCAATGAAGAATGTGGCCTGAAATATCGAGAAAAGTTTGGGTTAAAATTCTATAATTTTGAATGCATTGGAACTTTGTGAAAAACAAAAAAGATAATGAAATACGA